CTCCGAAAACTATTTATTAGCTCCTATACATAGAATACCTATCAATAATAATTTATTATTAATTATAATGGACGGTGAACTAGCCGTGCTCGTAGATCATAGTTTTCCACACAATATTGATCTTTACATTCTATATTTTAATCTGGTTGAAATTAGATTTAAAATTTTCGCCGTTCTGATTTCTGATGTGAATAGTGCGATCAACCCAATACGTCATATGAGATGTGTACATTTCATTGTTAACATATTTTCAGAGAAAACATCAATTATTTATTTACTCTAAATTTCGAAAAGAAGTTTCCTTATTATTTTATTGTTCCACCCATCGAAACAATTTACTTATTATTTTGTAAGGCCGATGTAATTTATCTTCTTACCCGACACCGTAACGCCATTGACTACTGTGTGCGGTGTGCCGTGTGCACATAACATTTCGTATACACCCAAACACCTTATTTTCCTTGACATGACATAAACATAACATGTATATTTCTAAATACCATAGTATTATATTCTAGAGACACACTTGGCTACTTGGGGTCAACTACGCGATAAAACTGTTTCTTCGTATCGATCGAACATTCGAATGGCAATAAAAACCTCTGAACAACAAAATTGGGGTTCGGCACATTTTAGTAATTTATCCATGTATCGTATACCTATTATGCAATCAATTGTCGAACCGACTGAAATTCATTGATATTTTTTCGATTTTAAAAATCAAGAAACTGTATAATATGTTTATATTTCTACTCGAAATATTGCATATTATTATAGTATGCTTGTAGGTACTATAGGTAGTAGTCTATTAGTAAGTAATAGAAATACTCAATCGAGTAGTCTGTATGACGAGTATATTTTAGAATTGTTAAATAATTAGTTTGGCTTCCGAAATAATCGTATATTCATCCGAGGACTGATAGACAGGTACTATTTTAAACGAGCGATACTGCTGACTTATTTTTCGTATTTTTCGCCGACGACACAATGTTCTTCTTAGTTTATGCACAGCACCGTAGTCGCTGTACTGTGTATTGTGTTAGACGTATAATTGTATATACCTACCGAGGTGCTAAATTGTACAAAATCGAATAAAAAAAAACTCGTTTTGATACATTAGCGTATATAAAAAAAAAACATTTTCGTAACCCATGTTTTATTAACGAGAACAATACACGAAAACGTATTCGGATTGTACGTTTGTAACTGCCTCGAATGGACCAGGTTTTCACGTTGAGGAAATAAATACGTTTATCGGAAGCCAAAAACTGATAACAGCCGTTATCGAACAATCGTTTTGCGGCTATTGTTATAACACCTATTTTATGTATTATGTGCATATACCTACTACCAACCTCATAATACTATAGAGTCGGCGACAGATGGATCTTCACTATTAGTACGTGTTCACAATGTAGATATAAATATTGATTTTATCTACATCGTTCTGGTATTATAATAATATACAAGAGGACCTTTTACCCGCCATGTGTTGTCTCCGCGACTGCATACAAAACTAAGCGTAGCATACCAAATTTCACGCCGTTTTCTTCTGTAATTTTTAAAATTTTAAATTTTAAAATGCTCACTGCAACTTACGCTTTGAAATCAATATATAAAAAAAAAAATCATTAGAAGGCCCTAGCAAATATTCTCACTTTTAAATTTGATAATAGTTCTATTTCACTCCAATATTAAAAATGACAGAGTAAAAACATTCGCATAATTTGCTATTTGTAAGCGTTACACGGAGACCATGTTACAACGGGTTAACGTTCATTTTCATGCGATTCGGTCTCGTACAACGGTTAAACATAATAATATAATAATATGATAATTTTCCGCTGCAAATCAAATGGTCGGTCGGAAGGGGATCGCTCGCGTAGGAGCGTCACGATGATAATAATATAATACACGATATATATTGCACCGTTAGATTCTCATACCCCCTGGCGTGGCAGCGGGTGTTGTTCCCTTTTTTTTTTTTGTCCTGTGAGGCGGGCGTTGGTGATAAAAGGCTTGGCAAAAGGGCCGATAACCGTGTCCCGTCTTCATTAAGCTCGGGTGTGGTAATAGATCGGAGGAGCGGTATATGCAGTCGGCCCGAGGGGTGGGTTAGTGTAATTTCCCCTTTAACCACCCGCGATTCCGCCGGACGTGTAATACTGCAATGATAAGTATATCGCACAAAATGTCATAGGACGCTGAACAGGACGAAACGAATAATATTACTAATTATTATTATTATTATACAATGTGGTGTGCGCAGCAGCTGTATATACCAGATTTCGAATGATGAAATATTCGAGTAAATTTCTAACAGACCTATTCAGTGTATAATACGTTGTATATTCGGGTGCCTATCCGACGACACGATATCATATGTAATCAAGTTACGTCAAAATTACAATTAAGTCTTCAATCTCCTTGGAAATTATTATTATTAATATTAATATAATTATCAAATCATATGTTATTTTTTCCTGCTTTTTTTTATGTATAAATCGCAAAATCGATTTTTCTTGAGATACGACATGTTACTCGCCCAACGACGATATATATATTATGTATTCGTACGTATATGGTTTCGTAATATTTAACAATCAAATAATTGGATAAAAATTAGCAATGTAAGATGGTATAACAATAAGAAATATAAAATGCAAATATGAAATATATAATAATTAGGTCGGATATAAAAATAAGAATTATAATTCGGTTCCGGTGGGGAACAGTCATTTTATTGTCATAACTGGAGTGCAAGTTCTTCAAGCCATTGCTCATTTGTCTGGATTTTTGTTGAGTTTATCGTTTAAAATGCCTTCGAATGCGTAGAGATCGCATTCAATGAATACAAATTATAATATTATGCATCATCGTTTGTTTGGCTGCTCGCTCTGCATGCTCCGCATTCACATTAATTTGGGTCTTAAATGTTTAATTATTTTAGTTCCCTGTCTGCGCGCAGTCTATTTAGTATTGCCAATTTCCCGAAACCTTTGTTCCGCCTTTGTTCGATTGAGTCGTTCAGTTTTGTGCGTTGTGTGCGTTTATTACTAACGCTTCGGAGGCTTAAATTTTAACCGGGCGCCGTGTAATATTAACCGTCCGTGAAGTATATGTGTGTCAGTTGTTACCACACGGTATAACCGTTCAGGTTATAAAATCATTACCCTCCGCCCTCCCCCCCCCAAAAAAAAAATAATAATTAAAACCGAATAATATAATACAACGATATTTTGTCCGAGTATATTACCGTTTTTGTAATATTTATTGTACGTTCATCCAGCGTGTACCTATGTTAAAGCATAATAATATGGTATACGCTCTGTCGTACGATTCACTCAGTACGGCTCTCGTTCACGACTCTTGAATACCCGACGACCTTTCTACGTGCAATCAGTCACGTATACACTCGTACCGCCGGGCCCCCGGGTACCGACGTGAGCTTTTTCAACGATAATTACATATTTATAATCGTCGTTACCTACCTATTATAATTTATTATTTCGAGTGACTAACTCGTACGAAGAGATTTACATTGGCCAAAACCGAACGAATACCGGCTACCGGGTACTATATACACATCCTAATGGGCGGCAGCTGCGGAGTTGGGGCGAATAGGACTTACGGTGTAGTTGTAGTAGCGGACAAATGTGTTCGCGTATTAGTTATTGGTCCGTACGAGATTTTTTAAAAATCCGTTTTCATTACGATGCAATTACGCGGCGGAGCAGCGTTCAAGGCCTTGCCTGCCATTTCCGAAGTAATTTTTGGTCGCGGCAGCAGAAAGCTGCATTTCTATTTTGTAGGATATATTATATTATGACTGTTGTAAAGCATAATGGTCGCCCAAAGTCCAAATCGACTACGATTTCCGTAGAATCTCCGCTTTACCAACCGCCCCCCCCCCACCGGCTACCCAACGGATTGCGTTCGAGCGGAACAAAGGCCAGCTCGGCAACGGTTGTCTCCTATCTCTGTCGGTCGGGTTTTTGGAACGGAATCGGATAACGACGACGACGACGACGACGAGAGAAAGACACACACGCACGCACGCACGCACACACACATTTACAGTTGGTGAGAGAGACACACACGCATGCACGCACACACACATTTACAGTTGGCGAGAGAGACACACACACACACAAACGTACACAAAGAGAGAGTGAGAGAGAGGGAAAGCGCGTTGTCGACAAAGAACGAAAGACCAAATAGATAGATGCGGTGCGGTGGATGGCTGGGCGGCGGGGGGGGACCGAACAAGCGTAATCGTCGACGGGCCGAGATACGCGACGTGTACGCGTGCGTGGCTGTGTGTGTGTGTACGTGTGTATTATTTAGGGCCCTCGGGTACGGAGTAGGATTTTCGGTGGCCGGGCATGTGCGGTGGAGGGGAGTTGGCGGCCGAGGGGTCCCCCACTCCTTTGCCGATCGGCTGGTGCGAACACCGCCGCCGCCGCCGAACGCTCGTCGCACGGCGCGGGGCGTGGGGTTTCTTTGTTCGAACAGCTGATCGGCGTTGCCGGCCGGCGGATGGCACTGGGACGACCGTCGACCACCGCCACTCGTCAGTACAGTACTAACTGCTATAGCGTGCCACGGGCCACAGTCGTCAGTCCGCACACCACAGCCGCACGTAGCGTTTCGTTGCCGCCGTCAGTCAGTCAGTCAGTCGATTAACCGCCGCGGTCAGATTCGGTTCACTCCTTAGCTGCTGTACGAAACCCGCTCGAGCTCAACGTTTTTTACACACATCACGCCAGTGTGTGACAGGCGACTTTATCTTATTTCTCCGTTGTCGTGTGCTACGGGCAATATTCGCGTTCGTCGACCGTACATGTTCGTTACTCGTCGTCAGTCGTAGTATTGTCGGTGTCGAGAAAAATATTTAAAAGATACATTTTCTTTTAAACCTTTGACGAAAATCGGTCATCATTTCTTTCACTACCTCTTTCGTCATTACGATAGCTAGGCGCGAAAAAAATCCGAAAAAAATGGAAGTCGTACCTCCGTATTACATACAACCGTCATACCCGGTCCATTCCACTCTCGGTACTTATAGCTTTTTTTTCGAACTAAAAATTATTTATTTTTTTTTCAATTATTTTTTTTGCTTTATTACATTTATTTTTTTTTTCCAAATAAACTTAAATTAAATTTTCACAAAAATTATTTTTATTTTTTATTTTTTATTTATTTTTTTAACTTATCACCTAAATCAATTTTATATTTTATTTTTACATTATTCTAAAGATCCGTGTTATTTTATGTGTACACAGGAATCTTAAAATTGGAGGACATCGAATCGGAAACCAGTGCGTTTATGGCATTACACCAACGACTTGAAGAAGAACTTCGGGCCGCCAAGCGTGCGCAACTGTCTTGCGGCGAAGTCTTGTTGCCGCCCGACTTGCTCCACCGGATAGCTCATGACGTTCTCAAAATGGCTGAAAGCGAACCCTGTGGTCTCAGGTGAGTTTCGTTTACATTTTTTCGTTGAAAATTATATTTCACTTTCCCCGCATATTAACTCACTCGAGACCTTCCCAGTGCTCACTTAGGACATTTGTTTTTTTCCCCATTCGAGATATTATTACCTATGTTTTTTTTGAAAAACGTATCGACTACAATAACTAATGAATTTTTTTTTCTGTCCTCACAGAGGATGCACTTTGTACCTGAATTTCGAAGGTGAACAAGAATGCCGGAAAATCGGCACGATCAAATGCGACACCAACACCGTGTCCACTTTTGAGTTGTTCCTCACACTCAAACAAAACCCTAGAAATGCGTGGTCGCTCATTCCACTATTCATTAGGTAAGTTAACCGAAACATGTCTTAACTTAAATTTATTAACTACTCGCTTCGCCACACATCAACGTCTGATGCAGCGTAGTATTTTTTTTTTTCGACTCTAACAAGATCCGTTTTTTTTTCTCCTGGTGTAGGAATTTCACAAGCGGCGGTACAATAGTGATCGATCACGAATTCACAATAGAAAAACGGAAGCTGTATAGGTCTTTTTTAGAATAAAGAGCGCCGGATGTCCGGCGCCGCCGAACGCCAATTCCTCCTCCACCTCCTTCTCATTATCAGTATCTCATCAAAACACCATCACCACCACAACTATAAATCCAACCACAACTAGTACGACCGATAGTACTCGTACCACTAATAGCACCGCCGTCGCCGTAATTGAGAGAGAGAGCCAAGACTGATCCCCTCGGAACAGCCTGTGCGTTACACAAAGATGAAAAACACTCGTATCTTGCAGTAGAGCGGTCTTGTCGTCGATTATCATCAAGTAACAAAAAAAATAAAAGCCCCCAATTTATAATATTATGACATATTATACGCGTAATAATATATTGGTCTCGTGAGTGTGTGGAAGTGAATATTTATATATTATTATAATAAATAAGTTTAACTATGAAGATTAAAAATAAAAAAAAACTAGCATACGGCATGATATTATAATATTGTTTCATACGTTATAAACCGTGTGCGTAAGTTAAAAAAAAAAATCAATTGTGATCAGTTCTATATGTTACGTTTAGTTTTTGTTCTCGTTATTATTTTTGTCGATACATTTATACATTGGATTATATTTATATTATATATATTATATATGTCGCCAGATTATAATATGATTATTATTAATACTTTTTCCTTTTTTTATTTTTATTTTATTTTTTTACCCATATAAGTCGTTGTTCTTTATAGGATTTTTAATAAAAAATATAGTATATATATATATATATATATATTCATAGAGAGTAAACATTTAAGGTTAAATTATTATAGATTAGAGTTTTATAGAGTATAGTTTGAAAAAAAACAAAAAAAAAACGTGTATTAGGTGCAAAATAATTTTTTTTATTAATGTACGTATTTTAAGTGAATGGTAGAGAGAGAGATAAATAAAATATATATAATATATAACGCGAATATAATTTTATTTACAATATTATTAGTGAGGAATAATTAATCAAAACGAAAAAAAAAATATGTTTATATTATCGAGTGTTTGATGTCGCGTGTGTCCTCCAGACAATGATAAAACTAAAGTAGAGCTTAGAATTTTAACCAATATTAACTTATTTAGTCTATAAATAAATCGCACCAAAAAAAAAAAAAAATATATAATATATAATATAACTAAAAGAAAAAAATACCCCAACTCATCAGGCGTTTTTTAATTTGTTTTGCCAGATGTCTTTCATGTTCAAATATCTATATTGAAAAAAAGATATGTTAACCTTAGAGTAAGTGTTCCTAACTGACATCACACATACAATTAATACAATATGCTATGCATTTATATATAAATATATATGTGTGTGTATAGATATTAGCGATTTTAAATAATTAAAATGAAATCCCTAAGAGCTTTTATTATTTTGTGTGATTATCCCACAAATGTGATATAATTTAGTACGTTGTGTGTGTATATATTTCCATAATATATACATGTATCGACGAACGGAATGAGATTATTATTAATAAATTTGAAGAATAAATGTTGTAGGTCTTTATATTTTGCTTCTGCAAATGAGATGAAAAAAATATTTTAATATATTATAATATATGTATACATATATATATGTATGTATAAATAATATTTTATTTAAAAATTCAGTCAAAGAAATTATAAGAATTGGCATTAATAGTTTGTTTTTTATAATAATTTTTTTATTTAAATAGGCTAGTGAAAAATACCTATGTATTGTGATAACGGATTTTGACTTTTTTCCTTAAACGTAACTTTCAAATTTCGTAGGCTTTAAGCGCGAGTGCGATGTGAATTTTTTTTATATAACAGCCTGTTTTTCCTCCCAAAATTAATAATTAATAATTCTATAAGAATAACTAAACCATTGTAATAAGATATATTTTTATTTTTTTATTTTTATTTTTTTTTTTGGTTATTGTAATGTATTTCTGATCTCAGTGGCACTACATAAAGTGTAATCTTAACAGTATTTTTATTTTATTTTTTTTTTAAAGTTAAGTTTACCTTTGAATTGTGTTAAAAGCAAAATAATAAAATGCTGCGCTAAGATCGAGTAGTAGTACTGTACTACTCAACAAAGCGTCCAAAAGATTATATATTTTTGTTTGTATTTTATATATATAATATGTATACTATGCATATATATATTATATTATATTATATTATTATTATACTTTTTTTTTTTTCATTTAAACGAAGAGTCCCCTTTTTATTGTGGCACAACCTCACCACCCCAGGCCAGTCATATCACTTCATAGCAATTGTCATTTTTTTACTTTTGTTATGTAGTAGATAATGAACAAAAGAAAATAATGCAAAATATAAAATTTGAAAATGAAAAATAAAAAAAAAAATATTTTGACAAAGAAACCATTGTTACATTTTTGTTTTTTCCTTTTCCGTCATTGGTATCTTAAAAATATTATAATTTATAACATTATTACAATAGTAATAATCATCGGTGTACGACAAAACCACAATTTTTTTTTGTACCAGCTGTGGCCGTGATGATTGTCGCCGGGACACCGAAACGACGAGCCATTAGCGTAAGACCTGGCCGATAAGTCGGCTAGTAAACCGCCGGTAAAATAATGCAATGTTGTTGTTATTTTCCGCTCAAATTTTTTTTCACGGAAATATTAATTGTTGCACACACACACCACCATGGCGGCGTGTTGTTTTTGTTTGGTTTTCCGGAATCAAAAAATAAAAAAATTGACCCCGTTTCCACGGGGCCCGGGTCGTTGAACCCACCACCACCTCCGCGAATAGGTCGAAAGTATAATATCGCGTCGGATGACGATTATATTTTTTTTTATTATTATTATTCAGTGGCGACCGACAATAATGATGGTGATAATAATAATTGTTTCGCTCGTGTGCCGAGTGCGTGCTGTGCACGAGAGAATCGCCGCCCGTGTGTGTGTGTGAAATTGCACGCACACAAAAATTGTTTTGCTGAATATCGCGTGTGCTGCGTATGATAATAATATTCGCTTTCTACAAATCGAAGAACTGCCCGACAATAATTCACGACCTCAAGCCGATATAACCGGCTACCCGGTATATTCGGTAACGGACGCCGGTGATGATGATGATAATCAATAGGACCAACGGAGACCGTGTAGTGGTGTGCGTACAACATTCAGAAATGTGAATAATGAAATATTATATCGTGTAATATTCGTCGTCCGGTTTTGTACCTACTCTTGGGCTAGGCCGCCATATATCTACATATTGTGTGTACGTTATCGTTACATTGTATTAGTGTGCACGCCAAATAATAAAACATACGTAACGGACCCCGTTGGTACCTGGTAATATAGTTGGTATCCATTTTATGGTTTCGAAAAAAAAAAAGTGAAATAAAATACACAATAGGTACACATCCACACTAACTTACCCGATAATAGGATTGTCAGCCAACACACACACACACACACAGCGATCGACCCATAAACACCTTTCTACATAACTAATTTCCCCACTTTACTACCGCTGTCGTCACAATGTCCTTCAAACGTCTCCGTTGACGGCGGCCGGGCGGCGGTCCGTAATAATGGTGTGCGTGTGTTCGGGCGCTTACGACCAGACTGGTATAATGTTCGTCCAGAACCGCGGTATTCGGTGTGAACAATTATTATCATTATATTATACGAGTCCTAAATGTTGTCGCCAAAACTTCGGCGGAAGAGTGAGTTCAAAAAAAAAACAAAACAATGGGCCTCGGACAAATCGTTACAGGCAAGTGGTGGTCGGTCACGAGATTTCGGGTGCAAACGTAGAGATAAAATGAGATTTTGTTGTCGAGCGGCGGTGGTCCTAACGAGCTTTCCGCCGCGCCTCGGCCTGGAGATTTCGAGATCGTTACCGGCCACAGTAGTGTGGTATGATATCGAAAATACTATATTTCCATTGCTGCAGGAAACCAGTTCTCTCGAGATCGCAGCCTCTGGTAGCCGGCCGGGCCCGTCGCACGTTGACGTGCACGAACCGACCTGTGCCGAACGTGTTCCGACCGGTCGCCGGGCCGTTACTCATCCGCCGGCCGCCGAACCGCCGCCACTCTCTCCCCGCCCAACTATGGTCGACGACGACAACACCAGTCCTCACCCGCTACAACAGGTCCGTGTCCCCTCCCCCCCACCCACACCGAGTATCTTGTACGGTGTTTTTTTCTACCTTCCGCTGATAGTCCGATGCACACACACACACATTTTATCATCGTAAAAAAATCATCCAAAAATATTGTTCGTTTCGTGTTTGGCCTACGACTATCCCCATTGGCGCAATTTCAATTTTTTTTTTCCGAGGGCTGAAAATACCACCGTTTAGACCACCGTGAGTCCTGAACGATTTTTATGGGCCACGTTTTATTGATTCGATACGAGTCATTATTACTCGGGTCTGTTGTCCCGTGAGGGGTTGTTGACTAAGTGAGCACACTATAATGTAATGCACTGCAGTGTAGGTAAGCTGTACAAACCTCAGTACCTCCTCACACAATCATCTGAAACAATATAAATTACATTACTAACTTAAGAAACAATGAGGAAATAGTGCTAGCACAAATTAAAAAGAAAATTGCCGTTAATTGTTAATGAATAGGTATATCGACTATATAGGTACCACGAATTTTGAGATATTATCATATTATGAAGAGGATGTCAAAACACAACACTTTGATTGCTCTTTCTCGTGGTGGCTACTACGTCCTACTCTAAAATTATATAATATAGCAAAATTATTGCTTAACACCTGAACCAATCCTGTTTTGTTAGTTGTTAACTTGTATCTAATTAGAAGGGGGTAAACGTTTTGACGGAACTATCACAACACTGGAAAAGAACTATTCAAAAATGTTTATCTTAATACTATTGCTATCATACATAATAATTATTGAATGTCTCATATAATTTATCATAATCCATAGACACAAATATCGCCCAAATTGTTTGTAAAAAATATTTAGACGCTGCAGGGAAAACGCGCCTTTAGACAAATATTGAAATAATATACG